TTAAAGTGAAACGGCGAAACATCCTATTGACAGGGTGGAGCAGTGGTTTTGGGACCCGCCACGTAAAAAACGCCCCCATAAAACGTGCAAACAGCATCGGATGAGAGACTCCCCTTTTGATAATATCTCTTGGCAACAAGTGCTACTTCGGACTAAGTAAGCGATTGAGAAGTAAAGTCCTCTCTCGACGAATAAAAACCAAATCAAGTCACTCATTATTCCCGTCCTGCTTTACAGTGTAGAGTAGGGTGGTTTTAGTGAATAGAGGTGAATTTCTTTTTCTGAAATTTGTGTGTGCTCACTTCTAGAAATGTGCCATTTAGTGTAAAAATACAATTGAACCAGTTTCAGCTCAATCGGATTTTGCCTTCCTGCGTTATTTTTCGAGTTTAACTTACGACTGATTCCACCTATTACAAAAAATTCATTATAAATTGAAAGTAATTTTGTTGAAATTAAAGTCTATTATAATACATATTCTTTAGAAATGTATGGTTTGGAAGATATTTAACATTTAATGGACCAAGTTCGTGTTATGTGCCTTTTTGGTGACACTCATACATAATATTTTTCGGATTTAAGGCTCGCTTAAGTATTTTGATACCTTTCATGAAAATGAAATGGTATATTAACTTTGGTCCGATGTTTGTAAGTATAAGAAGAATAAGAGATAGACCCATACCCAAGTATACAAAAATGATCAGAAGCAGTAGAAGATTCGATTTAGCTATGTTCGTCTGTCCGTCTGTCTGTTTGAACGCAAACTAGTCCCTCAGTTTTTGAGATATCCGAATGAAACTTGGTAGGCAAATGTATTTCTATATTCTATTAGACATTTGTCGGAACCGGCCAGATCGGAMCATATGTAGCTGATATAACCTTCATTGTTCAGATATGAGATTTTGCTCTATATCTTTGGTACTATAGCAGTTAGGAACGTGCAATTTGACACTCCTATGAGAAAATAAGTAGTGTTTTAAAATGTAATACTTTTTACGCTAACAATGCAGAATTTTAAATTAGAATTTTATATATTCATGAAAGGTATGAAGGCTTCGGCATGGCCGAAGACAGCCCTTCCTTACTTGTTTTACAGTATTTTTTGACATTTTGGTGAGTTTGGCCTTGGCCTAAGAGAGTGACATAATTGGGCCGTCAAATTTCTTAACTTTTCATTCTATGCAACTTTACTTTAGTATATCCTATACTTTTACTAAAATAAAGCGACAACAACAAAAGATCAGAATAACTTTTATTAACCTTTACTTTTTCACATTTCAACCTCACTAAACATATTTTTTCTCCAATAAGCTGGCATCTCTAGTATTATTTGGTATTGTATATTTCTGGCATCTCGTGGCTGACTTGTTGCTCATATTTATCGCTATGTATTCTGGCAGTAAGTAAAAAGTGGGGAATTTGATTTTGACGCTTTAAGAGAAATGTTATTTTAAAGTTTGTTGTGCTAAGTGAACAGTTCGATATTAGAAAGTGCAAGATATTACATACATAGTTATATAATTAAATTCAAATGGCTACTACTTCATCTAATGTTCGTGTTCGATCTAAAACCCTAATTTATTTAATCATCAAATAATCGGGAGTAAACTGCCATCTAATCATCAAGTATTAAAGTCATTGTTTTACAACATTCGTGAAGTTGGATTACCTTTTAGTGATGCTGCAAAACTCACTCTGACGGAAGTTCTTGTGTTCTGGGAGAAAACTAGAATACCTTATCAATTACAAAAAAATGCTGTTCGCAAAGTCGAAAAATTATATAACGAATGGAGGGCACTTCAGAAGTGTTCAAGATTTCAAAAATGTCTAATCATGAAGATGTTAAATTTTTGACATATCAGAGAATGAAAGGACGTCCAGGCCATATGGAAAGTATCGATGTGAATACAGCTCCGGCTGAACAAAGAAGAGAAGCAAGAAAAGCAAAAGCAGAAGAGTGGCGATGGTGACAGATTTCACCAGTAAGCGCTGGTAAGTTTATAGTATAGTTGCCCAATTTTACTTAAAAATTAGATACTCAAACCCATACTTAAATAGGTAATAAAATGCTGGCTCTTAGAAGCTATAGCCTTTATTCGTTCCTATTTGTTACTAACATCAACAGTATTTTTCTSCCAAAATCCATACATTTTCTTTCCTTTTTTCATTGCAACAGAAAATGTACGAGAAGTGGAAGAAATCAGCTCGGACGAAGTATTTACCGATGATGAAAAAGCCAGCAAAGCGGAGACTGCGAGTAAAAAAAGGAAATACAGTCGTGGTTATAACGAAGTAATGACGGAAAATTTATCAATATTGCTAGATAGGTGCAAAATTTCTGATAGAAATGCTGTGCGAATAATTTTCTCAACAGCTGAAAGTCTGGGCTGTAATGTCGAAGAATTTGCACTTAGTAGAAGTGTTTTAAGAAAACGCAGAATATCCTTTCGAAGTCAACAGACCCAGAAAATCAAAGCGAGGTTTAAAAACTTAGACTTAGAGGATATTGTTGTTCATTGGGATGGAAAACTTTTACCAAACCTTCTACAGAAAGAATGTGCTGAACGGTTGGCAACCTTGGTAAGCAAAGGAGACTATGAACAACTACTAGGGGTCCCGGAATTAGAAAATTCCAAAGGCGCCAGTCAGGCAGAAGCTGTTAGCGGTAGTCTAGAAGAATGGGATATTGGCGATAAAATTGTTGTTATGTGTTTTGATACGACGGCTTCCAACACAGGACGAATGAAAGGCGCATGTACCTTGTTAGAAAAACAGCTAGGTAAAAGTTTGTTGTACTTAGCCTGCCGCCATCACATTTTAGAAGTCGTTTTACGGTCAGTATTTGAGTACAAAATGGGATCAACGACTGCTCCCTAACCTGACATGTTTAGAAGATTTCAAATACATTGGCCTAACATAGATCAGTCTAAATACATTGAAGGGGTACAGGATGATTCGGTAAAGAAGTCAGTGAAAGAGTTCGAAAAAGAGGTTTCGGAATTTCTTCTATTTCAGTTAACTGAAAAACAGCCGAGGGATGATTACTTAGAACTTATTAAGTTATGTTTAATATTTTTAGGAAAAGTCTCTTCTCACGATGTTTCGTTTAACACTCCTGGTCCTTATCATCGCGCCCGTTGGATGGCAAAAGCCATTTACTCTCTGAAAATGTTAATTTTTAGAGAACAGTTTTCTATGTCCGAAGAGGAGTTCAGTTCACTAAAAGCTATTTGTTTATTTATTGATTTGTATGTGAAGATGTGGTGTCAAGCTTCAAACGCAATAGTAATGATTTACAATTTGTTCAAAATGTAATTAAGTATAGACGTATTGATCAAGGTGTATCAGAAAAGATATTGGGAAAATATTTACTTCACCTTTGATATCTGAACCCGGTACTGATTTGAATTAGCTTATTTGACAAAAATGTTTCAAATGAAATAAAAAGAAAAATGGCAAAAAAGATTTTATCGTACAGGAATTTAACAGAAGAAGAACCGTCTTCAAGAATAATGGGGGTGCAAGTTTCTGAAAATGAAGCCGTAAACCTATTTAAAAATATTTCGCTTCAGATCTTTGTGTCGGATCAAAGCCTGGCCTTTTTCGAATATTTCAAAGTCAAAACTGATTTTTTGACAGAGGACCCCAAGAAATGGTCCGAAAATAAAGACTTTTTGAAACTTCAAAGTTTTGTTAGGAGTATGAAGGTAGTAAACGACACGGCAGAGAGGGGGGTTAAGTTAATTCAAGACTTCAATAGTTTTCTTACAAAAGATGAGAAGCAAAAACAATTGCTGCTTCAGGTGGTAGCGAATTGTCGTCGGCTTTACCCTGATACTTCCAAAATTTCCCTTTCTCTACCCTTATCTGATGAATGATATTGGAAATAATAACATATAAATAAATTTATAAATTTTTTATAATTTTTGTTTTTAGTATGAATTTTCTTTTCTATATGTTTATTTTTTAAACAGATTTGTTTCCATCGTCCTACCTTTTTGTTAAATATTGTACTAATTAATGTACGAAAACTGAAAATGCAATATATAACTAAAAGATTTTACTAATTTCTAGCTTTTTCTATTATAATAAAATAAAGGACTTCTGTGTATGCATTTTTTATGGTTAAGGTAAGGATAGTTTCAAAAAGCGTGGAGAACCTCGAGTGTTACTGCGATGAACTATACTAAGGCATTTGACACGAACTTGGTGCACTAAATGTTAAATATCTTCCAAACCATGTATTTCTAAAGAAAATGTATTATAATAKACTTTAATTTCAACAAAATTACCTTTCATTTGATAATAAATTTATTGTAATAGGTGGAATCAGTCATAAGTTAAAGTCGAAAAATAACGCTTATTCGCGAAAAATGRCAATTTTATCAAACTTCAAAGCCTTTTCGGCACAGGAAGGCAAAATCCGATTGAGCTGAAACTGTTACAATTGTATTTTTACACTAAATGGCACATTTCTAGAAGTGAGTACTTCCAAAAATTGAAAGGTTATTTTGAAAAAGTACCCTARTGTAGAGGTATGGTCGATGACCACATCTGATGAGTAGACGTTACCAGTTTTCGAGACAAAGGTTCTACGAAAGAATTATGGTCTTTTGCTCGATGGCCACGGCGGATATCGCATTCGATGGAACGATAAGCTGTATGAGATATACGCCGACATTGACAGAGTTCAGCGAATGCTGACTAGATCATGTCTTTCGAATGGACAAAAGCAGATCAGCTTAGAAAGAATTGCACGCAGTACCCGCCGGGGGAAGAAGAGGAAGACCTCTAATTTTTGATATTTGATTTTGTTATGAATTAAGTTAGTAATTAGTCGAATAACGATTAGCAAATTAAGAAATTAATAAAATCTATAATATTAATACTTATCTTATGTCTGCATATACAATGTGCAGAAACGATTAATGTAATAATGTTAATATATATATAATATATGTATATAGATAACATATTAATATCGTTAAGAAAGCTTCTAGTCCTATGGAAACTTGTACAATTTATTTTACAGCATGAAAGGACAATTATTTTTAATTTCAAACAACATTAGGAAGTTATTTAGTTGGAAAATCTGGCCAATAATTGACACTGTATCTATGAGTAGATCCTTCAAATAACCTGTCCAACCAATTACTTAAACCATCCAAAAGATTTTCCTCTAATAAGATTTTTTGCTCGCAGTCCGACTCATCTGAATTAACTTCAACGAATGCCCCTATTTCCGGATCGGTAGTATCTCGCTCAAGATGTTTTTTCATTTTCATTAACCTCTGCAAAAGAAAGAATACATATATCTAGATAACGTTTATATTAATGTATACGCTTCGCAATTTTTTTATTTTTTTTTTGTGTTTTGTTAAAAAATATAATATGTAATATTGAGTAGTCGAAAAAGTCTTTTCGTATTTTGTTAATAGATGTCGTTGCAGTCTATATCTCCAGTGCTACCAATCAAAATTGAAAAGTAAAAAGTTACAACTGCTCAAAAATTAGTGAACATAATCAAGAAATTCGCTATATTTTGGAGGGAAGAATACGACGCAAGCCACCACAGAAATTTGTGATGTTTACGGTGGCGATGCCGGATCAGTTCGTGTAGGACAACAATGGTTCGCTAGCTTCCGTTCTAGAAATTTCGATTTATACTGATAGAATAATGTCTCTAGCGGACAAATGGTAAATATTTGCTTATTTATTTATTTTTATTAATATATTTATATCGTAATGATATAGGAGAAATAATTAAATTAAAGAGAAAACTACGACGTAAGTGGCATCAAACTTGTTGTCCAGCTGATAAACTATTTTAAATAAAATCTCTAAATATCTTAATCGGCAAATTAAGAGGTTTAAAAATGAAAGTTTCGCAAAATATCTTCGGCCCCTAAGCAATGGAAGAAATTCCGACTACTTTCTTCGGAAAAACTGTAAAGACTACAAACACCAGAAACTCAAGTATGTTCCATTAAAATATATGCACGAGTACCGTACTTTAANAAAGACTACAAACACCAGAAACTCAAGTATGTTCCATTAAAATATATGCACGAGTACCGTACTTTAATTCCGCTAAATACTTAGGACACTAAGCTACTCTGGAAAGTGCACGAAAAAACAAACGTAAGGAGCTGGACATGCGACTCAAAAATTATAATTGGTTAATCGGTAACAAATCAGCGTTATCCATCGAAAAAAGTTACTTATATATAATCAAATACTCTGACCGATATAAAGCTATGATGCACAACTGTGGAGATGTACTAACGCAAACAAGAAGAAAGTCATCCGACAATTTCAAAACAAAGTACTAAGACGAATTGTAAAAGCGCCTTGGTATTGTAGATGTGCTGATATAAAACGTGATATAGGCGTAAACTCGGTTAACGCAGAAATATTAAAAACTCCAACAGCACATAGTGCAAAATTTCTACAGCAAGTAGCTATGTTAACTTCTAGAGATGGACCACCAAGACTACTCAAACTCTGCGATCTTTCCAATTAGCCAATACTCTCATAGCAGTTTTGTAATTTTGTAATTATATTCAAGTTGCTTGTTGGTCCTTTCTTTTATTTGAACTAGTTGCAATGTATAAACAAAATAAAAATAAAAAATATTATAAATATAAAAAATAAGTTGAAGTTTGATTAGAAATACGAAAAGACATTTTCGACTACGCAATACACCTCTTGTGATGAAATTGAAAGGTGAATTTTGTTCATTTCATCTCCTTCAAAGTAATCCCCACCCGCTGCAATGCACTTATGCCAACGAATCTTCTAGTCATCATAGCACTTAAAAATTCCTCCGTCGTGATGACCATGTGGCTTTCTTCGATTTAGCTTTTATATCCTCAATTGAGTCAAAACCGTGTCCTCGGAGTGGTCATGCGAATTTTCTGAATAGCCAGAAGTTACACGAAGGTAAAATAGGCAAAGCGATGGTTGCGACACCGTATTAGTTGAAAATGTGGCTAAATGATCTTCAATAACCAATGCAGGATAAGATGGTGCATTCTCGCATTTCTTTGCTAAATAAATTCAGACATAGAACAATCGAAGGATTCCCAAATAGAGGCTCACGAAACGACGCGTATCTCAAATACTAATGAATATTTTGATGTGAAATTTAGCACAGATGTCACTAACAGTACTACTTGCAGAAAAAAAACTCTACCGTTTCGAAACACACTCGATTCACCTTTCAATTTGATCACAGATCTATCTATTTTATAAACTCGCTACAAAGACTAAAGTACTTACCTTTCTATCATTGTTCGTCTCTGGGTGTTTAGCGTGGTACATACAAAAATATTTTCTGTGACCATTTAAAGCAATTACGGTACCAACACAGTTCCGGGGATTAATCTTAAATGTCTTTGATTCGCACAAAGACAACCTTAGTAGTTCAGAATACCATAACAGCCCCTTTTCAATAAGCATATGACCGAATAATAGTGTTTTGGATTTCCGGTAAGGCCAAACAGCTTTGTGAAAAGAAGGAATTAGCTTAGGTCGCGTTTTTATATCGGTAATTAAAATTATAGTCCTACAACCCGGTTTCAACAACCGAACCATGCCATTATATTTTTCAGCCCTTAGTTCATGTAATTTCAACTCCGGAGGGCTGCGGCTTTGCTTCAGAGCTAAAAGAAACAATTTCAAAAATATAAATAAAACCTGTTTCAAATTAAGTATACACATTTTTACAAAGCTAATACTTGGCAATGTGATTTCAGAAATACTTTTTAACTCTACTTTACAATGTAAATATTTTTGCAAAATATTAACTGCCACGATTGCAATTACTTTGGTGATCGGGGACTGACAACGAATTCCGGTATAAATTGGGTATATGCTGATAAGGGATCTTCTCCAGAGGAGGAATAAAAATATTGTTGCGAAGGCTTATACTTTTTAATATATTTGCATTTCAAAATTCAAAAACKTGTATAAATAACACATGTCACAATACTTAACTAAATTTTTTAACATTTTTCACTTCGTATGGTATACTCAAATCTCCTTCTTAATTGGCGTAGACACCGCTTAGGCGATTATAACCGAGTTAACAACCGCGCGCCAGTCGTTTCTTCCTTTCGCTACGTGGCGCAAAGTGGATATTCCAAGCGTAGCCAGGTCCTTCTCCACTTGGTCCTTCCAACGGAGTGGAGGTCTTCCTTTTCCTCGGCTTCCCCCGGCGGGTACAGCGTCAAATATCTTCAGAGCTGGAGTGTTTTCGTCCATTCGGACAACATGACCTAGCCAGCCTCTGCCCCATATAGCAGGACGGGAATTATGAGTGAGTTATAGAGTTTGAGTTGGCAAGAGTTATCCTGCGTTGGATTTCCGGGCTGACATTGTTGGTGCTGATTACGCTGGTTCCAAGATAGATGAAATTATCTACGACTTCAAAGTTATGACTGTCAACAGTGACGTGAGAGCCTAGTCGCGAGTGCGACCACTGTTTGTTTGATGACAGGAGATATTTCGTCTTTCTCTCGTTCACCACCAGACCCATTTATTTTGCTTCCTTGTCCAGTCTGGAGAAAGCAGAACTAACGGCGCGGGTGTTGAGGCCGATGATGTCAATATCATCGGCATACGCCAGCAGCTGTACACTCTTATAGAAAATTGTACCTTCTCTATTTAGTTCTGCAGCTCGAACTATTTTCTCCAGAAGCAGGTTGGAGAAGTCTCACGATAGGGAGTCGCCTTTTCTGAAACCTCGTTTGGTATTGAACGGCTCGGAGAGGTCCTTTCCGATTCTGACGGAGCTTTTGTTGTTGCACAACGTCAGTTTACACAGAGATCGCGCCATAAAGGCAATTCCTTTTCGTGCTGTCGAAAGCAGCTTTGAAATCGACAAAGAGGTTGTGAATGTCGATTCTCCTTTCACGAGTCTTCTCCAAGATTTCCAGGTCTGAAGCAACACTGATAAGGTCCAATCAGTTTGTTGACTGTGGGCTTTAATCTTTCATACAATACGGTCGACAGAACCATATATGCAATGTTGAGGAGGCTTACCCCACGGTAGTTGGCGTAGATTGTAGAATCTCCTTTTTTGTGGATTGGACATAGCACACTTAAATTCCAATCGTTGGGCATGCTTTCGTCCGACCATATTTTACAAAGAAGCTGATGCATTCTCCTTATCAGTTCTTCGCCGCCGTGTTTGAATAGCTCGGCCGGCAATCCATCGGCCCCCACTGCTTTGATGTTCTTCAGGTTGTGCTCTATTGTCATCAATTGGGGAATCGGGTTCGCCTTCTCCTGGCGTTGTGCGTTCACTGCCATTCAGTAGGCTGGAGAAGTGTTCCCCCCATAATTTAAGTATGTTCTGGGCATCGGTGACTAGATCACCTTTGAGGGGTTCCGCCGCATTTTTTCGGTAGAATTTTCGTGCATTACCCCTGCGGCCAGCTTATCAAGCTCCTCGTACCCACGCATTTCGGCCTCTTTCTTTTTTTGTCTGCAAATGCGTCTCGCTTCCCTCTTCAACTCTCGGTATCTCTCCCATCCCTCACGTGTTGTGGTCGATAGTAACGTTGCGAGGTAGGCAGCCTGTTTTCTCTCCGCTCCGACACGGCACTCCTCGTCGTACCAGCTGTCCTTTTGCTCTTTCAGAAAACCAATGGTTTCGGTTGCAGCTTTATGTAAGGAGTTTGAAATGCCGCCCCACAGAGAGCAGAAGTGCAAGCCGAGTAGAAAATCGTTCGGCTGTCTGTTGTGATTGCGGCTTCTCGAACCTTCCTTGTATTTGATGGCGTGCGTTTTTTGCTGCACAGAGGCGGGTGCGAATCTTGGCTGCAACAAGATAGTGGTCCGAGTCGATGTTGGGATCTCGGAGCGCACGCACATCTAAAATACTGGAGACGTGTCGTCGGTCTATCCCAACATGATCGATCTGGTTGGTGGTTTTTCGATCAGGAGATAGCCAGGTAGCTTGATGAATCTTCTTATGCTAGAATCTAGTACTACAGATAACCATATTCGGGCCCCAGCGAAGTTGATCAGCCTCAACCCATTTGGGGATGTTTCCTCGTGGAGGCTGAATTTACCGACCGTAGTGCCAAAGATACCTTCTTTGTCCACCCTGGCGTTAAAATCGCCACGCACGATTTTGACATCGTGGCGGGGGCAGCTCTCATAAGTGCTTTCCAAGCACTCATAAAAGGCATCTTTGGTCACATCGTCCTTCTCTTCCGTCGGGGCGTAGGCGCAAATCAGCGATATGTTGAAGAACCTCGCTTTGATTCGGATTGTGGCTAGACGTTCATTCACCGGAGTGAATGATAGTATTCGGCGACTACCACCACGAGTTCCACACCAAACTTGCGCTCCTTTATGTGGCCAGTGTAGTAAGTGCCACAAGGAYCTACTCGTCTCAGTCCTTGTCAAGTCCATCGCGTTTCTTGGACTGCGGTGATGTCAGCCTTTATTTTCACGAGGACATCAACCAGCTGGGCAGCGGCACCTTCCCAATTAATGGACCGGACATTCCAGGTGCATGCCCTCAAATCA